CAAAACCCAGCTGTTTAAATGGATAACATGCAGGAATCATAACATATGCAAGTCGTTCTGGATAAGAGTGTCTACTAAGCAAATGTAAATGTAAATCATTTAATCTCTTACTTGTAATTTAATTAACTTTATGGTTATAGAAAAAACGTGTGCAGATTGCATCATTTCATCTTCTCCCACAAAAGCATGCATGACCCCTTGTGGAATCACATGGGAGAAATCCTGTTTTTTCTGGCCTAGAGCTGTAACCCCATTTTGCATCTCAAAGCTCCTCCATTCGTACCAGCAAACAGACTCAGTGGACCTGATGCACTGCAAAAGGAAGGAAACAGTTCCCACCATCTTTCTGGGGGGCAAATACCAGGGTGACACCAGTGTCTGCATGCCCAGAGTCTGGCGGCTGTGAAATAAGCAGCCTGTTCTTATGGAGGAAGCACAGAGACCCCATTAGAGGGCTTACTGGGTGGCGTGCCACACAGAGGAATGTTATTTATAGTACATTAAGTCCGACATCATTAATATGGGTGACATTTGTAAAGGCCTCTTTGACACTATTTTCCCTTGCAAGAGGCGAGAACGCAGGCTTGTTAAATGAGAAGGCCTGCACAAACTCGTGTGCACAAACACGGGCTGCAAGATTCAGACCTCACGACAGACAGACTTGTTTTTTTTCCGGTGTTCTCTTCCAGTATTTCTTCTGAATTTTACTGAACTGTGTCAGAAAGTTTATCACTGTTGCCTGCATGTCATGTAATTCATAACTGTGAAATCATGACGGCATTGAGACTCTCCCTTCCTGTTCTTTGATACTGTTGTTGCAGTTGCCAAGGCGATGTTTTGCCTGTTGTCGAGCATTTTCTTGCTTGTTTGAATTCAGAACATGTTGACAGCCTGGCAAACGCATGGCTAGAGATGACTTCCTATCTGTTACTGTCCTGAGTCTTGTAAAAGAAGATTAATGATCTTTTCATGTGCGTGTTGGGTCATGTTTGTCCTCGCTAATCCAAAGCCACCATCTCTCCAGGCCTGAGTATCTCTTCATGAGATGGGATACCCTAAAGGAGAGGTTCTGCAGACCTGGTGGTGAATTTACTGTGGGTGGGCCTGAGTGGACTGAACCAGTAAAATGGGAAATGGCTTCTCCATGTGTGACGAGGGACTGAATTTGGGGAGGGGCGTGGCCGCACAAGGTGACCCCCCGGGAATCGAGGACAGTCAAAGTGGGGTGCACCAGATCAGTGCACGACCTGGCTTTAGGAACCCAACCAACAGGAAGTTCCTGTGCGCTGTGACAGAGAGATGTTTCTGATCCTGTACTGGAGGGAACTTCCTGTTAGATATGGCTTGGAGAGGTCATGGCGCAACGTGGAAGATCCTTCTTTTATGCAACTGTCCTCGTCTGGGACGAGTTCCCATCCTCGGCTCCTCGGAAAACTCAGGCCCTGAGGCCACTGCGGAGAGAGAGGCTTAGTCGGGGCGAAAACCCTCCTGTGGGTGGGTGACGCATTATCTTAAAGACTTCCTAAGGGGAATATAGATGAGAAAAGCGGGGAGAGGACGGAGGGGGTTGGGTTTTTTTTTAGTCCATGTGTTTCAAGATTTCTTTTCCTGGACGGGTTCCAGCTCTGGTTCATGCTGTGAGGAGGCGTGTGACTCTCCGGCTGCCAGAGAAAATGTCCCCTCATGGTCACCTCTCAGGGACCGCCAGTCACGTGACTGGCAAGGGTCACATGACTCATGCTTCCCGTGCAGCCGCGTGGCCCTTCCCGGTGGAAGCATTCCCCTGTCAGCCGAGGGGGGGCGGCTCTGCAGGGGGTTAGGGACGAGTCTGTTGTCTATTATGGCCGGAGGTGCCAAGGAGCGAGTTCTGGAGCTGGGTGCAAACCGTGGGAAATAAAACTGCAGCAGATCTGTGCCAGGAAAAAAGGGTAAACAGGTACCACGTGCAATATTCCACGTTCCCTGCCAGCACGGTGCCAAACGAGAAACAGCCGAGCAGCCTGCGGTCGGGAGGACGGCCTGCAAATTACACAGCAGCTTTTCCTGCCGCATATTTCAATAAGCAGAGATAGAGCAGTTGCAGGCGGAGTTGGCTGCACTTTCTGCCCTCGTCTCGTCATTTTCTTACCGCAGAGTTTTTGGAGCAATCATATAAAGTACATTGCTCCAAAAAATAAAACCGCACTGCTAATTTTCTGGTATTTCATACAAAGCCAACCAAATGCCAGAACGCTATGCTAACTTCAAACTCTGTGACCCATTGAGAATTCAAGGCTGGAAAGTCTAAATTTGACAACCCTGCTCCTGACACAACATAAACCATTGGGCTCAGTTTTGGTACAGTCACTATGCGCATTCCCCTTAGCTTTGAGCAAATAACTTCTGTAACTATTATTTAACTATATAGTTAATGCCCCTTCAGCATTGTTTGTTACACACTCACTGTGATTAATAAAAACTGCTCAAGCATAGAAATGTGACACTTCAATTCAGTACTCAAAGGTAAGGACGAAGCATACCGAATCGCATTTGTACCTGGACCATTCCATCTCAGTACCAAACAGGTTTTCAATCACAATAGAGTAAACAAACCAAACGTTGTTCGCTTACATCTACTAGTGTGGCTTGGGTAATCTGAACAGAAATTCAGGCTGGCATGTTTAGCAAAATTGGCTTCAGTGCTGGGTTGGGCTGTGCAGCTATGAATTAGAGTTCAAGGTGCTTTCTCTCTATGTATGGCTACTGGAACAGAGTAACAATCTAAATCTGATTTCTGCTGAGGTCACAAGCATTACAAATGAAAGTGGGTTTTAAGAATGCGTCAACTGTCTTTCAGTGGACAACTCTGGGTTTCAACACTGAAACTACAAAATATGGCGAATGAGAAATGCTGTCCTTTCATCCTAACAGTTTACCTCGATGCTTCCCTGCAGGTGAGGAGATGTATGGAGACTACGCATACGATGTCAGCCCGACGTCAGACTATGACGAAAACAGCACCATCCCCTTCTTCATCTACAGTAAGCTCACGGGGTGGAAACCTCTCTCTCCTTTGGAATATGGATTTCATCATTTCATCAGTTGGTTCATTCTTTCCTCACCGAATTATAATTGTCTCTTAATCAGGCAACACCACGAATTTCGACCTCGAGGAGATCCTCAAAGGAGTCCAGGACGATTTTACCCAGGAGCCGGAGGACCAAACTACCCCTCCAGATGTGTCTACTTATGATGGTGTAAGAAAACTCTCTCACAGCATAGACAATATCTAACAGCGATCCATAAGAGTAGCTTGCTCTAACGTCACACCAGTGCGTATGACGTGCGCAGTGACGTCCGCAGATTCTGCCCTGCCTTTCTGCTGGCTGCTTTGATCTGATCGTTCGGTATTTTGTTCTTTGTATTGACTCCACAGTGTGGTTTGACATCACGGTGCCTGACCTGACCTTTTGCGCTACTCAACTGGTCCAGACATGCTGACCTATGACTTTGTCTTACTGAGCATATCCCGAAGGACCAATTATGGTCATCACTCAACTACCCCCACCATCAAAGAATCGTCAAAATCTGATTGATGGCTTTAAATCTGTGTAGGGGATGTTTTACTATTTTTCCTAATTCCTCAACTAATGGTCAGTGTTTTTACCATTCCAGTTGCTAGATTGGTTTGGATTGAGGTTTTCGCTTTTTTTCTGGCTAAAACAGCCAATCTCTCGCTTCTTAAACATGACTGGGGCCAGTCGCTGCAGAATGGTGACTTCAAACCAGCATTCCAGGAAGTTGTTTGAGGGAGGTATTCGCAGGCCTTTGGGAACGCTGCAAAAGTATAAAGTGTAGGAGAGACTGAAATTTATTAAGGGCATTCATACCTTCTGACAGTCCCATCTGGTGTTTTCCCAAATTCCCAGCCTAAGGAACCAGCGACAGACAGTTCAGGAGTTTTCAAAAATCTCCGGTAATTATATGAAAAAGGGTTCTATTTATAGCCTATTTATGGTGGTACTCTGAAATACATTCCCAGCAGCCAGTCCAGCTTTCTGATAACATACAGTTGTGTGTGAAGCACAAAAACTTTGGCACTGATCCATGATGTCATCTTAGGCCAGTCCCTTTTTCAGACAGCCTGCTTTAGCCTTTAAAACACAAAATACCATTATGTTATAGTTGCTTTGCAGACACTCTTGTTCCAGAGCGACTTACATGGCTTTTTCGCATGTTATCCATGCACAGATCTGGGTATTTACTGAGGCAATTTGAGTTAAGCGCCTTGCCCAAGGGTGCAATAGCAGCGCTCCTCCTGAGATTCAGCTTTCGGGTTATGAGCCTCGTGACTTACCGCTATGCCAAAATGTGTTTTACGAGCGGTAGTGAAATCTGTCTGTGACATAGACTGTCCTTAAATTGCTCCATTGGTCTGAGTAAGCACCTCAGAAACTGCTGTCTAGCCAAAGTGTGAGCTCACTAGAGTGGCTGGAGAGCACTTTTATGGCATGCACTATTATTCTCAAAAACAGAAACCAAAACTCTTCTTTTAAAAATCACACTTACATATATAGTAAAACATTTCATTAAAAACAAGAGAAGAAAAAATACATAATGACATAGTTACGCATGATTAAAAAAACTTGAAGCAAATGAAATGAAAACATAAAATGAACATGTGTTAAAGCAGCATAAAAGAGAGTCACTTATATGCAAGGTGAAAGTGAGGACCCTCTGGTTTTGATTAAAATGTTCTCAGCTTCTCACAATCATTTAATGACCACAGTGTGCTCTCATTTTAGTGAAATCTCTTCATTATCCCTGCACTGTCAGCAGGGCATGTTATCCATTTATACAGCTGGATATTTACTGAGGCAATTCTGGGTTAAGTACCTTGCCCAAGGGTACAGCAGCAGTGCCTCAGTGGGGAATTCTACCAGCAACCTTTTGGTTACAACCCCTGCTGACACTCGCCCTTATTAAACATCAAACAACATTGAGAGCGTGCACTGTGGCATTGCCCCAGTGTGGAATCGAACCAGCAACCTTTTGGTTAAGAACCCTGCTCCTTACCACTACGCCACACTGCTGC